AGCCCCCCGAGTATGCTGTACAGTTTGTGTTTGTTTTATAAATAACCTTGAAAGTAGACATTGGTTTGAGTAAAAACTTAAAAATAAATTAACTTAAATTTTAATTATACATTTGTTGGGCAAGCAAAATGTTTTAATAAGATGAAAAAAGGAAACTTAATCTCAGGAGTATATATCGGGCGAACAAGGATATTAATTAAAGAATATTCAAACTATGTTGGTTAGTTAGAGTTTGAATAGAAGCAAGAAATAACACTAGAACTGCGCCAGAAGTAAACTAGAACTAAAGTAGAAATAAGCTAGAATTGTACTACAAATGTTTTAGCACTGAAATAGAACTGGACTAGAACTGAACTAGAACTGAACTAGAACTGAACTACAACTGAACTAGAACTGAACTAGAACTGAACTAGAACTGAACTAGAACTGAACTAGAACTGAACTAGAACTGAACTAGAACTGAACTAGAACTGAACTAGAACTGAACTAGAACTGAACTAGAACTGAACTAGAACTGAACTAGAACTGAACTAGAACTGAACTAGAACTGAACTAGAACTGAACTAGAACTGAACTAACTAGAACTGAACTAGAACTGAACTAGAACTTAACTAGAACTGAACTAGAACTGAACTAGAACTGAACTAGAACTGAACTAGAACTGAACTAGAACTGAACTAGAACTGAACTAGAACTGAACTAGAACTAACTAGAACTGAACTACAACTGAAAGAACTGAACTAGAACTGAACTAGAACTGAACTAGAACTGAACTAGAACTGAACTAGAACTGAACTAGAACTGAACTAGAACTGAACTAGAACTGAACTAGAACTGAACTAGAACTGAACTAAACTGAACTAGAACTGAACTAGAACTGAACTAGAACTGAACTAGAACTGAACTAGAACTGAACTAGAACTGAACTAGAACTGAACTAGAACTGAACTAGAACTGAACTAGAACTGAACTAGAACTGAACTATAGAACTGAACTAGAACTGAACTAGAACTGAACTAGAACTAGACTGAACTAGAACTAGAACTGAACTAGAACTGGACTAGAACTGAACTAGAACTGAACTAGAACTGAACTAGAACTGAACTAGAACTGAACTAGAACTGAACTAGAACTGAACTAGAACTGAACTAGAACTGAACTAGAACTGAACTAGAACTGAACTAGAACTGAACTAAGAACTGAACTAGAACTGAACTAGAACTGAACTAGAACTGAACTAGAACTGAACTAGACCTGAACTAGAACTGAACTAGAACTGAACTAGAACTGAACTAGAACTGAACTAGAACTGAACTAGAACTGAACTAGAACTGAACTAGAACTGAACTAGAACTGAACTAGAACTGAACTAGAACTGACTAGAACTGAACTAGAACTGAACTAGAACTGAACTAGAACTGAACTAGAAACTGAACTAGAACTGAACTAGAACTGAACTAGAACTGAACTAGAACTGAACTAGAACTGAACTAGAACTGAACTAGAACTGAACTAGAACTGAACTAGAACTGAACTAGAACTGAACTAGAACTGAACTAGAACTGAACTAGAACTGAACTAGAACTGAACTAGAACTGAACTAGAACTAGAACTGAACTAGAACTGAGCTAGAACTGAGCTAGAACTGAACTAGAACTGAACTAGAACTGAACTAGAACTGAGCTAGAACTGAGCTAGAACTGAACTAGAACTGAACTAGAACTGAACTAGAACTGAACTAGAACTGAACTAGAACTGAACTAGAACTGAACTAGAACTGAACTAGAACTGAACTAGAACTGAACTAGAACTGAACTAGAACTGAACTAGAACTGAACTAGAACTGAACTAGAACTGAACTAGAACTGAGCTGGAACTGAACTAGAACTGAACTAGAACTGAACTAGAACTGAACTAGAACTGAAATAGAATTGAAGAAAAACTAGAACTGAACTAAAACTGAATGCAACGTTGTCAACATTGCAACAATTCGTTGTCGAAATCTAAATTTTATACACTTCCGTTGTCTAAATGTTAACAAACGTGGTAAGCTCACTATAGGCAACGGATTGTTTGTCAACAGTGAGCTTACCACGTTTGTTAATAGTTAGACCACTGATGGGTATAAAATTTAGATTTCGACAACGATTTGTTGCAAAGTTGTCAACATTACATAATGCTGTCGTACGTATGTACATATATCTTTGACAACGAATGGTATTGAAAAATTATAAACAGTTTGGTGTCAATTTAGTACCAGGCTTGTATATTTCTTTTTCCCTATGTGTAGAACTGAATTAGAACTGAACTAGAACCGAACTAGAACTGAACTAGAATTAGTACTTAACTAGAACGATTAAGTATGTATATCAATGTATTAAATTCTTTAGTCCTTTCTAAAATTCATAATTTTATTAAAAATTTTCTGTTTCTTAAATTTTGTATTTCATATACCACGTTCTACATTTCTCTTTTAAAAATTCCACTAGGACTGCTTGTAAATGTTTATCCTTTATATTCTGGTGTTTTGTTTCTCAACCATTTATCATTATTATTAATATTTTTCTGTATGTTTGTTATTTAATTTACCTGTTTATTAACTTTTTCTTATTTTTGCATACCTTTTCCCTAAACATACCAGTGTACCTATGCTCCTTTTCAAAATAACTGTTTTTTTTTTTTGTTTTTTGGATTTTAAATCATGTTTTTCCAAGTTTTCCTGCTGAGGTTACATGAGGACAAAAAAAACACGAACAATTTTGACAAGTAGCAGAGAGTTTTGCCCCCAAAAAAATACCTCTACAGTTTAACAGAAAAATATGGAGAAAACAAAAAAACTGAATGAATGCATGTATTCAAACATACAACAGAGAAAAATACCAAACCACAACATGTCTGTGCCACATACCGCAAGCCACTTAATTAACAAGTATTGCTGTGTGTGGACTAGTTGAGTTTGGATGGATATGTCCCTCTAGTGGTGGCATATATTTTGTTGTTTTCTCTCCTGCTCTCTATATGTTCTTGTTGTTGCAGCCAAAAACTTTAAAAATATATGTATAATGACCAACACAACAAGGAAAAGGATTGTTGTAGGAGCGTAAGGACTTTTGAGGAAAATATGTAATATTTATCCAAAGTCAAGAAAAAAAATACAGTTTTTACTTTGTTGCTTTATTTGTGTTTGTTCTTGGTTTTTTGTTTGTTCTACATATGAATTTGAATTTGGTTTGTTAATTTTAAAGTTATGAATAAAAAATGTTCTGAAACAAAATACATATGTAAATGCTTTTAAATATTATACATGTATACGAGAACAGAACTAGAACAGAACTAGAACAGAACTAGAACAGAACTAGAACAGAACTAGAAGAGAACTAGAACAGAACTATAACAGAACTAGAAGAGAACTAGGACAGAACTAGAACAACTAGAACAGAACTAGAACAGAACTAGAACAGAACTAGAACAGAACTAGAACAGAACTAGAACAGAACTAGAACAGAACTAGAACAGAACTAGAACAGAACTAGAACAGAACTAGAACAGAACTAGAACAGAACTAGAACAGAACTAGAACAGAACTAGAACAGAACTAGAACAGAACTAGAACAGAACTAGAACAGAACTAGAACAGAACTAGAACAGAACTAGAACAGAACTAGAACAGAACTAGAACAGAACTAGAACAGAACTAGAACAGAACTAGAACAGAACTAGAACAGAACTAGAACAGAACTAGAACAGAACTAGAACAGAACTAGAACAGAACTAGAACAGAACTAGAACAGAACTAGAACAGAACTAGAACAGAACTAGAACAGAACTAGAACAGAACTAGAACTAGAACAGAACTAGAACAGAACTAGAACAGAACTAGAAGAGAACTAGAAGAGAACTAGAACAGAACTAGAACAGAATTACAACAGAATTACAACAGAATTACAACATAATTACAACATAATTACAACATAATTACAACAGAATTAGAACAGAATTAGAACAGAACTAGTACAGAGCTAGAACAGAACTAAAACAGATCTAGAACTGAACTAGAACAGAACTAGAACAGAACTAGAACAGAACTAGAACAGAACTAGAACAGAACTAGAACAGAACTAGAACAGAACTAGAACAGAACTAGAACAGAACTAGAACAGAACTAGAACAGAACTAGAACAGAACTAGAACAGAACTAGAACAGAACTAGAACAGAACTAGAACAGAACTAGAACAGAACTAGAACAGAACTAGAACAGAACTAGAACAGAACTAGAACAGAACTAGAACAAAACTAGAACAGAACTAGAACAGAACTAGTTCTCGAATTTATTTAGAGCTAAACTTTAATCCCGCCTAAGACAACTTTTCTTTTGTTAAAATTTCGCTAAATCGCAATTTCGTTTAAAATTTTCTTTCTTAGTGAATCTATTTTTAATTTCCCAGTAAATAATTAACATTCATTAGCTCGTTGCAATGACAACAATGGTGGCAGTAGGGTATTGAAAAACGCTACCAACCCATTAGCACGTGCTCCAAAGAACCCCAAAGAAATAAAGTAAAGAAAGAAAGTATTTCAATTTTAAACTTTTCTCAAAAGTACACACACATATACATTAAGACTAACTACTACTACAGCCACAAGCTAACAATGAAAAAAGTTTAACTTAGAAGTTATTTGGCTAAGAAAATGCGTACAAAAGTAGTAAGCAACGATAAATAACTGAAAAGGTACTTTATTAGTGTAATTTAGTATATTATTAAGAAAAGTACAAATACTAATAGAGTAAAGTAAATAGTAGTACATAGCACAAGAAACAAAAAATCAGGGCATTTACCACTGCAGTTTTAATACAATTTCGTACTACTACCAGCAAAGTTAACAGTCAGTGCTCACCGCCTTTAACCAGTGATCATCACACTTATTTTAGTTGTTTTACATGCGAGAATAAAAATAAAAACTTTTCAATACAATGATTTCAGTTTGAAGTTCATATTTCAGTTGTAAATAACCTCGAGCGTTGTGTGAACGTGTTTTTTTTTCAAACTATTCGACCGAGTTAAAAAAAAAAATAGAATAAAATAAATATTACACAAAAAAAAACTAAAACCCACAAAATTCATACAATTTATAAATAAAATGTTATTATAACGGAAATGTAGAACAAACAAAAGGAAACGGAAGTGCATTTGAGAAATAGTTCAGTTTTTTTATAAAACGAAAATAAAAGTGAAACAAACAAAAAATAGAAACGAAATAAACATAAATATACGAAATAAAATTTTTAACGAAAAAACGTGCATATTTTAAAGTTTAAAAAAATACGAAAAAAGTTTATAGTGTTTTATTTAAAAAGATTTATTTGACAAATATGATTTATACGAAAGCGGTTTATATACTGCTGATAAATATAATATTATTACAATGTTGTGTCCATACTCTGGCCTACACACAAATTTCCTCTAATATGGGAAGTGGAGGAACAGATGATAGAAGTGATGGCGGAGGTGGCGGTCCAAAAATATATAAAGCAGTCAATTTTGATTTAATATTTCCAAAGAGGTAAATTTTAAGAGATAACAAATTTAATAACGTTTTAAAATTTTGGAAAAACTAAGTCCACTTAGAATGAACCCTGTGTAGAGAAATTTCAAAAAGTATATTAAAACTAAACCACAACAAATTTAGAACTGAATTTAAACAATTTAGAACTCAACTAAAACTGGACTAAATTAGAACTCAACTAAAACTGGACTAAATTAGAACTGAACTAGAACTGAACTAGAACTAGAACTGAACTAGAACTGAACTAGAACTGAACTAGAACTGAACTAGAACTGAACTAGAACTGAACTAGAACTGAACTAGAAACTGAACTAGAACTGAACTAGAACTGAACTAGAACTGAACTAGAACTGAACTAGAACTGAACTAGAACTGAACTACAACTGAACTAGAACTGAACTAGAACTGAACTACAACTGAACTAGAACTGAACTAGAACTGAACTAGAACTGAACTAGAACTGAACTAGAACTGAACTAGAACTGAACTAGAACTGAACTAGAACTGAACTAGAACTGAACTAGAACTGAACTAGAACTGAACTAGAACTGAACTAGAACTGAACTAGAACTGAACTAGAACTGAACTAGAACTGAACTAGAACTGAACTAGAACTGAACTAGAACTGAACTAGAACTGAACTAGAACTGAACTAGAACTGAACTAGAACTGAACTAGAACTGAACTAGAACTGAACTAGAACTGAACTAGAACTGAACTAGAACTGAACTAGAACTGAACTAGAACTGAACTAGAACTGAACTAGAACTGAACTAGAACTGAACTAGAACTGAACTAGAACTGAACTAGAACTGAACTAGAACTGAACTAGAACTGAACTAGAACTGAACTAGAACTGAACTAGAACTGAACTAGAACTGAACTAGAACTGAACTAGAACTGAACTAGAACTGAACTAGAACTGAACTAGAACTGAACTAGAACTGAACTAGAACAGAACTGAACTAGAACTGAACTAGAACTGAACTAGAACTGAACTAGAACTGAACTAGAACTGAACTAGAACTGAACTAGAACTGAACTAGAATTGAACTAGAACTGAACTAGAACAGAACTAGAACTAGAACTGAACTAGAACTGAACTAGAACTGAACTAGAACTGAACTAGAACTGAACTAGAACTGAACTAGAACTGAACTAGAACTGAACTAGAACTGAACTAGAACTGAACTACAACTGAACTAGAACTGAACTAGAACTGAACTAGAACTGAACTAGAACTGAACTAGAACTGAACTAGAACTGAACTAGAACTGAACTAGAACTGAACTAGAACTGAACTAGAACTGAACTAGAACTGAACTAGAACTGAACTAGAACTGAACTAGAACTGAACTAGAACTGAACTAGAACTGAACTAGAACTGAACTAGAACTGAACTACAACTGAACTACAACTGAACTACAACTGAACTACAACTGAACTACAACTGAACTACAACTGAACTACAACTGAACTACAACTGATCTAGAACTGAACTAGTACTGAACTAGAACAGAAGTTTTAATGAAATATTTCGTGAAGACTTGATTTTTAATAAAATTGAGGAATTTTTAGTAAAAATATAAATTTTTGGTAAAAATTTGAATTTTTAATAAAATTTTGTTTAATTTAGTTTTTGGTGCAAAATTTTAATTTTAGTGAAAATTTTTATTTTTAATGAAAATTTAAATTTTTAGTAAAAAAAATAATTTTTTCCAAAACTGTCTGTCTATCCGTCTGTTTGTTGATATATATTAACTTTTTGAAGACCCCATATTCTTTTAGATATGCTTTCGAGAAGTTTCCTATTTAAAATCAGCCAAATTGGTGCATAAATAACAGAGACATAAGCAAAAATCAGAGATAACTTCTGAAAATTATATAAAAAATTTAGATTTTTTGGTGCTTGCGGAGACATAAGTTATAAACAAACAACAACAACACGGTAAATTTTGATCTTGTACTTGCTTGTTTATAAAAAGAAAACAAAGAAAGAACTACGAATGAAGCAGTGTATTTGAAGTGTTGTGACCAAAAGTAAAAATAATATAAAGAGAAGAAAACATTATAAAAGGACAAAATTAGCTTAAAATTAGCCTTAAAATAGTCTACACTATTTCAATTAGCAATTAAAGATAATTTTGCCTTCAACTATTATAACATTGGGCAAATTATATGTTTAATTACGTATATAATATATAAGCTTGAGCAAAATCTAAACACATAAAATCCTTAACATACCTTAAGGGTTTAAAAAAACTAATAAAAATTCATCATATAACAAACCCAAGCAGAACAAAAACAACGGCCAAATTTTATAAACGCAACAACCAAAACAAAACAAACAACAAATTGCACGTTGTTTTTGTAAAGTTAGTATTTATTGTATAAAAATCCCCTATACACAAACAAATGACAATTGTGACAATAACAAAACAAACACACAAACAAATTTCATAAACAACAACTACGACAGCAGATTTTAACAAGTCACTGAATGATGCCATACAAAACCTTTGAAACAATAACAATGCTATGTATAACAACAAATATTAGGAAGTATACAAACAACAACAATAATAAGAAAGTTTTGTTTCCCAAAAATCATACAATTATGAAAAAATTGTTAAATTTGCTAAATCCTTATAAATAATTAACCCGCAATTTCATTTTCTTGTAAATTTTACAAAAACAAACTTACCTTTGTACCTATTTGAAGTTGCCTGTACAAAGTAATAGTGGGTGGCGGCAGCAATCTAAAACTATTTAATTTCTTATGGGGGAAAACACTAAAACACTTAATTACACATTTCTTTAACATTTTCACTTAATAAACACTATTTTCAATAAATTATTCAAAAAAAACTAAATTTTTACTTGCGTCTTCATAAATTTTAACAAATTTGCAAACGTTTAGTTTGAAGATTAAAGGAGAACTAACAAGAACAAAGAAGAAGATGAATAAAAGAGAAAAATAAAGAAATATAATAAGCATTTTTTATTCATTTATTAACCTCCTTAAGCTATACTACGAATCTGGAATATTGAGCCTAGAAACATGAAATTAAGCATGTAGTGCGTAAGAGAGAAAGAACTAGGGTTCTATAGTTGAAACGAAAAGTCGACTTTTCGACTTTTTGCATTTAGTTAAAAGTCGACTTTTCGACCTTTCGACTTTTTCCATTTTATGAAAAGTCGATTTTTCGACTTTTCGAACTTTTTCATTTATTTAAAAGTCGACTTTTAGACTTTTCGACTTTTAGTATTTTATAAATGGTCGACTTTTCGACTTTTTCCGACTGTTCGACTTTTTCCGACTTTTTTCGACTTTTCGACTTTTTCCGACTTTTTCCGACTTTTTTCGACTTTTTCCGACTTTTTTCGACTTTTTTCGACTTTTCGACTTTTTTCAACTTTTCGACTTTTTCCGACTTTTCGATTTCTTACGACTTTTTGACTATTTTCGACTTATTTCGACTTTTTTCGATTATTTTTTACTTTTTTCGAGTTATTCCGACTATTTTAGAGTTTTTGACCTCTTTTCCACTTTTTTAAAATTTTCGACTATTTTCGACTTTTCGACTTTTCGACTTTTCGACTTTTTCCGACTTTTCGACTTTTTCCGACTTTTCGACTTTTTTCGACTTTCTTCGACTTTTTTCGACTTTTTTCGACTTTTCGACTTTTTTCGACTTTTCGATTTTTTTCGACTTTTATTTACAAAGTCGACTTTTCGACTTTTTTCATAGACGATAGTCGAGTTATCGACTTTTTTGGAACAAAATAGTCGACTTCGACTTTTCGACTTTTTTCGACAAAAAGTCGATTGTTCGATTATTCGAAAGTCGATTTATAGAACCCTAGAGAGAACTAATAAAGCGGGACTTTTTGGTACTTTTTCCATTTGGAAAAAGGTACCTTTTGAATTTTCTATAATATTGAACCTAGAAACATGATTGTTTTGTTAAAGAAGATTTGAGAATTGATCAAACATTAGTTTTCTTTTCACAGGAGATTTCCATAAATCACTTTATGTTTAAAAGTATTTAAACATTTAATATGAAAAAAAAATGGCGTTTATTGTTAACAAAATAATCCTACAACTATTTATGTAACTGTTAATTTGTTAAACATTTCCTTTAGCATTTTTGTAGATGACAACTTTATGTAGAAATGTATTTCTATGTTGAAAGTTTTATTTCAGAATGAATAATTTATAAATATTTTTTCATACAATATTTCAAAAACCTACTTATACAAAATTTACAAAATTCAATCAATATTTAACAAAGTATATAAAAACAAGTTTGTATTAACAATATTCCAATACCCTTCCTTAATACGACTTCAACAAATTTCTAAATTTTGAAAATTTAATATAGGACAGAGGTTTTGTCAATATGTCTGCTTGCATTTCATCTGTAGGGCAATATAATAATTTCAAAATATTTTTATTTTTAAGATCTCGTACAAAATGATATTTGGTATCCACATGTTTTGTTCTTTTGCTGAATTTTTCGGAACCAACTAACTTTATGCAACTTTGGTTATCTTCAAAAATTGTAGTAGGTTCGTGGAGTTTAATACAAAAATCTTCAACGAGTTTTCTTAACCATATCGTTTCCTGTGTTGCTTCAGCTAGCGCTATGTATTCGGCTTCTGTAGACGATAGTGATACGCACTGTTGTTTGTGACATGACCAGCTTACACAACCACCATTATATTTAAAAACGTAACCGCTAAAGGATTTTCTGTCGATTCGGTTTTGTGCCCAATCAGCATCTACATAACCAACAAGTCCTTCACATCTATTACCTCCGAGTTTTAATTTCAAACATTTTGTTCCATTTAGGTATTTTATTAATCTTTTCAACTCCGTCCAATCTTCTTCAGCTGGCTGACTGACATGCTGACTTAATATGGAAACGGCTGCTGAAATATCTGGACGGCTATTTACTAAAAGGTATATTAGACATCCAATTAGCTCTTGATATTTTTCGTTGTTTTCCATAAATGTAAAATCTTTCCGATCTAATGCAATATAGCCGACATCCATTGGTATTTTAGAAACTTTGCTTTCTTGTAAACCAGTTCTTGAAACAATTGAATCAACATATTGACTTTGATGAATATTATAAAAACCATCATCCGCCCGCTCAATTTTGACACCAAGATAAAAATGTACATCTCCCAGTTTTGTATGTTCAAAATTGTTCTGAAGTATCGTTTCAACTGTTTTAAAATGTTCATCAGCTTTGGCTGTTACCAAAATGTCATCTACGTAGACAAGTATGAAAATGAATTCATTTTTAATTTGCATTTTTAATAAACATGGATCTGCATTTCCTTGAACAAACCCTTCCTGTTTGAGTACCTCAAACAGTTTTGTGTTCCAGCATCGCGCTGCTTGTTTAAGGCCATACAAACTTTTTTGTAGTTTACATACCATTTTATCTTTTCTATTATTTGATACTTCATATCCAACTGGTTGCCGCATGTATATTTCTTCATCAAGTTCTCCGTTTAGAAAAGCAGTTTTTATGTCGTAGTGTTTGACGTTGTAATTTTTAGAACCAGCAATTGTTAGAAACATTCTCAATGTAGACTGTCTGGCGACAGGAGCAAAAACTTCGTCATAATCCACACCGTACTTTTGGCTAAAGCCCTGCGCAACCAATCGAGCTTTGTATTTTAAAATTTCGCCATCTGAACCACGTTTTATTTTGTAAATCCACTTGCATCCAATGGCTTTTCGTCCCTCGGGCAATGGTACTACCTTCCAAGTTTTGTTGTTTTCTAATGATTTCATTTCCTCATTCATAGCTTCTACCCATTTTTCCTTTTCGTCACATTCTATGGCTTGTTTGTATGTACTGGGTTCAACGTTTTGTATTAAATTTACGTACCTCTTTGGCAATACACCCAAATTCGAACGATTAGATCTTCTCAAATTTACTTGTGGGTCTGAAATAAGTTAGATTCGCTAGTATTTGAAATTACCGTTAAATCGTTTGAATCACTGGAACCATTAATAGTATCTTCATCTTCAGATTGTACTGCAAACTCTTCATCTGCTGAGAAATAATCTTCATTGTTAGAGGTTGAACTTTCGTGATATTGAATTAGTGTGTCTGAATTGTTGCCGTTTAAATTTACTTCAACTTCTTCTGAATTCGATTGTACCATTTCGATTTTTCTTGAAGTAGATTTAAGTATTTTGTAATCTCGGCTTATTACAATCTTTAAATTCGTAAGATTCAAAAAACGTAATGCTTTTGACTCTTCTGAATATCCCACGAATATCAATACTTCAGTTTTCTGATCCAATTTTTTACGTTTTTGCGCTGGTATAAGTACATGTGCTTCAGAACCAAAAACTTCAAATTGGTTTACATCAACCTTCTTATTTTCCCATATCTCAAAGGGAATGTTTTTGTTAGACCTTGTCGTAATTCGATTTTGAACAAAGTTTGCTGTTACCACTGCTTCTCCCCAAAAAATGTTTGGTAAATTCGCATCCGCTAGCATACACCTTACCATCTCAACCAAATACCGATTTCTCCTCTCTGCCACTCCATTTTGTTGCGGAGTGTATGGCGCGGTTAGATGTTGTTGTGTACCCATGCTTTTTAGAAACTGTTTAACATTGTCTCCAAGGTATTCACCTCCACGATCTGAACGTAATATTTTAGGAATTTTATTAAATTTGGTTTCAACATAATGAAAATATTCTTTTAGTTTCATAAAAACATCACTCTTATTTTTCAATAAGTATATTACGCAATATCGGCTAAAATCGTCGATAAAAGTAACGAAATACCGATAACCACTTGGAGTAGACACATTCATCACGGCCACATCTGTATGTACCAGATCAAGTAAATCTTTTGACTGCTCACCTGATTTATTTGGAAATGACTTTCGAGACATCTTACCACTGAGACATATTTCACATTCTCCATTATTTCCGCATTCATTTAACTTAATATTTGCATCCTTCAAGATATTCTTTACAGCATTTACATCTCTATGACCCATCTTGCGATGCCATTCATGTATGCATCCATTGTGTTTGTCATTGTTTATTAAATTGACTTCATTATGCTTCACCCTTAGTCTGTATAGATCTTTCACCAAATCACCAATCGCCACAATAATGTTATTTTTTAAAATGTTGCATATTTTATTATAAAAATATACACCGTAACGTTTTTCGGCCAACTTTTTTACTGATAAAAGATTACATTCAATCGATGGAACGTAAAGAACCTCTTTGATAAAAATTCTTTCGGTTGAATTATCTTCTTTTATTACTTCGATATAACCCGAACCTTTACCTTGCGAATTGATTTGGTAACCATTTGCCACATTTACCGACTCAATATGATTTTCATCCAGACTCGTAAAGAAATGTTTCTGATTAGATATGTGACATGTAGCCCCAGAGTCTAAAAACCAGTCCTCTTTACCACATTTACCAAGCCAAAAACAATGCTCTTGAATGCTTTGTTTTGCCTTTGAATTTCCAGCCACGTTTATTTTATTCTTCTTAGCCAAGGCTTCTTTATAAATTCTACAGTCCTTCTTAAAATGACCTGCTTTATCACAGTAGAAACACTTCTTGGAATTGTTGTGTTGTTCTTTCTTCTGGTTTACCTTTTGCACTTTCAACACCGATGTGTCTGATGATGACCTCTTATGAACCTTACGAGTTGCTTCTTCCATCAACTTTCCTTTGACAAAGTTAAAATTTAGATGGTCATCGCTACGAGCTTCTAAAGCAACAATAAGTGGATCATATGTATCTGGAAGGCTTCTCAATAACATAGCTACAGCCCACGAATCGCTTAGTGGGTCACCCATGACAGCTAATTGATCTATGTAGGATATCATCTCATTAATGTGAGCTTCCATTTTTTCATCATCTGTCAGTTGCATCTTGCATATGGTCTTCATTATATGTACCCTTGTACTTAAAGATGGTTTCTCATAATGATCTTGCAAATTTTTCCAATAATTCAAAGCATTTTCCGAATTCTTGAAATGTATTAATTGTGCATCTTCCACCATGAGACCAATACATGCCTTTGCCTGTCCGTCTCTCTTTATCCAGTTAGCATCCGGTACTGCGGGTTTAGGTTTTGAAACAACATCCCACAGATCTTCTTTAATTAAAATTAATTCCATTTTAATCTTCCAAACTGAATAATTGGCTCCATTGAGCTTTGTGACGGTTGATTTAATTTCTTCTCTTGAAAACATTTCTAAATTTTTAATAGCCCATAACCTGTAGAAATGTATTTCTATGTTGAAAGTTTTATTTCAGAATGAATAATTTATAAATATTTTTTCATACAATATTTCAAAAACCTACTTATACAAAATTTACAAAATTCAATCAATATTTAACAAAGTATATAAAAAAAAAGTTTGTATTAACAATATTCCAATACTTTAACCCGTTTATTTTCTAATCTTGTTTGGTTTCGTTTCGTTTTTTATAGTTTTAATTCAAGTGAAAATGTAATCTCTACAACACCTGAAACGATTCCCTTGCCAACAAAGACTTCGTCGAGTAGCAGTGGTAGTACATATGTTGGTCAACCATATTATCCTTTGCCACAATCATCAAATGAACCAGCAAGAGACGTTGAACGACAGGAGCCAACTCTATTTATTACACCAGCACCACCACCACTAGCATTGGCAACGACAGCACCATCTAATGAGGCTGGCATTTACGACACACAACAGCAACAACAACAACAACAACAACAAAACTACAATGCACAAGTGGTGACACAAAATGCCATAAATATTCAGCAGCAACAGCAACAACAACTTAATGATAATAACAAAGCCGAAAAGGAGCTAAAGCAACAACAACTACAACAGCAGCAGCAACAACAACAATATTTAGCTACTGGTCGTGCTGTCGATTATCATGCTGGTTATCCCTTTGGTCAACTTATCACGCCATTAATCAAAAATGCACCACGTCCTGTGTATCGCAAACCCGTAACATCGTATTCAACATTCCCATCGTCATCATCATCGGTAGCAGCAGCAAAGTTAGCAGCACCATCAAATGTTGGCAAAATTATCTATCCTCAGGCTATGTATCAACAAAAGCCACCAAGCCAAGCAGAAATTGATAAGTTACGCGGCAAAGGTAAGCAAGCAGCTTTGAATAAATGAAATACTTTTTTCCGTTATCGCCCTTAGGTGTGACAGTCACACAAACATACATACAACAACAAACAAATATTCCTACTGACAGGGGGAGGGGGGGGATTGTTTAAGACAGATGTAATGAATTTACAAGAATAATTCGTTTAGGATAATTTTAAATAAAAAGAATTTATAACTCTTGTATGTACATTGGGGAAATGTGTTGTGGATGAAGTGTAAACTTATCTAGTCTTTAAGTTTTAAGTAATTGTCAATTTTTATACCCTACACCACTTTAGTGGGGAGGGTATATTGGATTTGTGCTGATGTTTGTAACATATAAAAATATTGGTCCTAGACCCACCTTAAAGTATACCAATCGGCTTAGAATCGTTTTCTGAGTCGATTAAGCTATGTCTGTCCGTCCGTCTGGCTGGCTGGCTGTCCATGTAAACTTTGTGCGCAAGCTACAGGTCGCAATTTTCAAGATAATTGGATGAAATTTGGCACGCACGTTTTATTTGACCCAAGGACGAAGCCTATTGAAAATGGTTAAAATCGGTCCATTATTTCACCTAGCCCCCATAGAACAGAACCTACCGAAAAGGGCTTCTGAGCTCATAATTATGTTAAATATACAGATATATCGATAAAATACGGCACAACTAAGTTTTATAGAAGTCTTGATAACCCTGCCAAATTTCATAAAGATCGGGCCCCATTTGACCCTAGCTCCCATACAATGTCCCCTTCAGAAAATTACTTGAATGTCCCAAATTAACTTATAAACACAAATATCGCGATGAAATTCAGCACAATAAAATATTATGTAAATATAAATATATTCACAAAATTTTATCGGGCTTGGTCCATATTTGCCCCTAGCCCCCATATAAAGCCTCTTTCAGAAAATTAGTTTTTCATCCATAAATTGCTTAAATGTATCGGAACAAGGGAATATTAAAGATAAATGCGATATTATGAAAAATAAATCACATTTAATATTCATAACTGGTGTAGGGTATCATATGGTCGGCCACGCCCGACTATACTTTCTTACTTGTTTTTCTTTTTATTTCATTTTACATAACTGGAAATGGTGTATTGGTTAAGCTTTACAGCTTATATCACAGATTTTTACTTAATTTAATTAGACAATTTGTTTTACAGGTACTTTTGGCGATCGTTTTTCACCCAGTGAAGGTGTAGCTTCACATACTTTCAAATCAAATCATGATCATTCGCATGATCACTCACACGACCACAATCATCATAATCACAATCCCACCTATACGCAGGCTGGAAAAACAGCCTCCGCTTCTAATATGGTAAATTCTTATGTGGCTCCCAGCAATTTGTATTCGTTTCCACCCAACAATGTTAATTATCCTACACAAGCACAAGATACAAAAATCGCCTTAGCCTCAGGCACAGTGAATTCATATTCTGCTCCAGCATCGGGACCTTTGAAAAATTCGAATTATAACTTAGATACATCTAGTAGTAATAGCAGTCCGTATCAATATAATGGACCAATTAGTGCTGGTTATTTACCACCCTCGAATGACAACAGCAACAATGGTGATGCTAAAGAAGAGGGTAAAAATACAGATGGTGGAGGTGATGGTGATTTGGATAATGGTGGTGGCGATGATTCAGTGGGTGTTCTACCGGCCAGTGCTATGGATCAGATTAATGATGGTGGTAATTCAGATGGTAATGGTGATATGTCCGGTGATATGGGTGGTGGTGATATGGCAGGAGATATGGCTGCGTCCATGGATTCACAAGATGGTTTGTTTAGTTTAAATAATATTAACAAAATTTAACTTATTTTCTATTTAATTCTATTCCACTACAGCTCCCGATGATAGTTCTTATGATACGGGAAAAGAATATCCCACCCCTCCTCCTAGTTGGTTGAAAGAACATCCTGAAGCGGCTCAAGAACATCCGCCTAGGAAACCCGATATAGAATTTGATCATTCACATGATCATCATCATAAACCCGATATTATATTTGATCATGATTATTATCATCATTCCTATCCCTCGTATCCCATATATCATCATCATTATCCCGAAGTTATTTATGATGATCATCATCATGATCATTCTCACGTAGAGCCACCACCACCTACCACTACTACAGAGGCTCCGCCACCAGAACCACCACCAGAGCCACGTGTTAAGAAATACAGTTATTTCTATATTGGCCGTAAACTTTGGTATATTCCCTTGTATTTCACCATTTGGTTTAGTTTTTATGTGCTCTGGTTGATTTTAAAATCCATAGCCAGACATAAGGTAGGATTTAAAAGTTTTTAGCTTAAAACATTGTTTATAAAACGGTATTTTTTTGAATTTTTCTTTTTTTCAGGTTAATTTGCCCAATCATTATGTTTCGCGTCGAAGTGTGAATTATGATTTTTCCAAAAATAAACAGGAAACCTTAAATCAACTTACAGTTTCGGTTTTAGATCAAATCGATAAATTTAAGAGAAAATACTTGAATTGAATAAATCGGCGAAAAACAAATACGTGTACAAAGTTAAAATATTAATAAATAATTAAGAATTTATATATTAAAAATTAATTTTAATTGTTGTTTAATTCCAATGCATGTATAGTAGTAGTGCACGATTAAGATTTGTTTTCTAATGTAGAACAAAATCATATAACAGTAGTTCAAATATTTGATTTCTATAGACGTTAAGGACATTCAAGATGTTATAGAATTCCTTGATATAAACGTATTCCTGTTATCGAATACATTTTGTTTCGCTTGTATCTACTTTTTTCTTTTTATTTCATTTTACGTGGCTGGTAATTTTGAATATGTGTATTTATTATTTCACTTCATAGCTTGCACTTTGACAGAAGTGTCCCTGTTATCGAATACATTTTGTTTCGCTTGTATCTACTTTTTTCTTTTTATTTCATTTTACGTGGCTGGTAATTTTGAATATGTGTATTTATTATTTCACTTCACAGCTTGCACTTTGACTGAATATATTTGTTATATTCAAATTTGTATAACACTTTGCAATACACTTTTTGTTGTCAGATTTTCAACACATCACTAAATACCATTTCTTGTTTATATATATTTTATTATTCAAATATTACTTGTTATTTAAAACACATATTAAACTAAACGTTATAACTAATTATAATGAATTATTAGAAACATATTATAACTAAAAAAAACTAAAGATTTGTTTATACATACAGTTTCACGTACAAAAAAAGGTATTGGTAATACAATTAAGGATTATATTTCATCAATAATTTCATATATAACAGTTTCTTCACATTCCTCACTGGGATTATCGACCAGTGATTCAGTTTCATCGACTTCTGATTTATCCATTTCATAATGAAAATGGGTATAAGTTTCATAATTCTCAGCGGCTGCTGCTGTAGCACCATCATCATTTTCATATTCCTGAGAATTTTGCAATTTGCGTTCCTCAGCCGTTTGCAGTAGTTGTATCACACGATCAGACAGACCACCAGATTTTCTAACTTTTCGTGGTTGCACTAAAACCCCTTTGCTAAAATTTTAAAAGAATATATGTTTGAATTCTTTTATAAAGTAAAAAAAAAATTAATACTTACACTGTCTTAAGTTCCTCTAATTTCGGTATGGGTACACGTTCGGCTACCTTACCATTTGCCTCTTCCTCCTCCAATTCTTTGCGATGTGCACGTTTTTTATGAGCCCTACAATTCGAACCATTCGAAAAAGCCCTATTACAAAAATTACATTTATAAGGTCTCAGACCCGAATGCAAAATCAAATGATTTTTTAAGGCCTTTGATCTTTTAAAGGCGGCATCACAAAATTCACATTTAAAACGCTTAACATCACTGTGCACTAAGCGATGTTGCAATAAAGTTCTTCTAGTATTCAATTCCAAATCACAGTCGGGACATTTGTACAGTGATTTAGTGTGTGTGTCCATATGAGATTTGAGTCTAGGTTTATTTTTAAAACGTTTATGACACACCTCACACTCAAAGGGACACTCATCGGTGTGTACTAATTGATGTTCGGTTAGAGCCGCCATTGTTTTGCACTCCCGACCACATTGATCACATATGAAGGGTTTCATTTGATGATGTATACCCTTAACATGCTGTTTCATGGCACCCACTTGGGAAAATTTACGCTCACAATACGGACAGGGTACATTGTATTTCTCCTCATCGGGCAAATGATTTCGCATGTGTAATCTTAAGCTACTTCGGGTTAAGAATTCTTTACTACAAATGCTACATCTGTTGCTGGGCAGATGTGAATTTGGTAATTCTACTATGACATCGTGTAGGGTAATCATGTGTTTACGGAAGATAGTGGGATTTTTATATCTACGTTTACATTCCTTGCATTCATAGCGATAGGTGGAATCATTGGAATCCATTTTTTTAGAGCCAAAGGGACGACCTCTTTTGCCTTTTAATAATTCGAAAATATCGGGTTGGCCATTATTTTTACTATCACTAGTATTAATATAATTATCGTTGTTCCCTTCCTCTAATACTTCTAACGAATCGCCCATATCTTCTTCGAAATCTTCCTCATTTTCTTCTTCTGTGTGTTCTGTTTGTTGAGAATCTTGATATTCTACTTCCACCTCTTCTTCGGCGGAAATAATTTTAAACCTTTTAGGTTGTTGCTGGTGTTCATCTTCTTCCTCCTCTTCATCATCTTCTTGTTTAAATTTAAGTTCTTTAAAAAGATCACTATCTTGCAGTTCCTCTTCATCCTCCTGTTCTTCGGCTTGTTCAGTTTCCTCTTGGGATGACTTAATTACCTCAGTGTGTGAACTTCCTGAAGGCACTATAAATTCTTCATTATTTACAAAATCAACTTCATTATCCTCCTGCATACTGTACTCATAGACATTAGTATCATGTTCTGTTTCTGTTTGACTTTCATAGTCATCATTCTTATCGGGTTTCTGCAGAATGTCTATTAAATCCTTTTTAGCTTTAGAGATGGAAGTTTGAGCTTCTGTTTCTTTAATTTCTGTAGTAAATAACAAATCTGTTTGTACTTGTTGATCTATTAGCAACGGCTTTGGTACTTCTTGTATTTTTGGTGGTTCCGGCTTTATTATATGCTCCCAGCCCTCTTCACTTAGGCCAAATTGTCTACGAAACTTAACAGCCTCTTTTATAGTTTTGGGTTTCATAGTTTGCAGTAAAACAAATAAAGTTTGTACCTTATTAACGCGTTCGGTGAAAGTGACCAACTCCTGCACCAGTTTCCGACACTCCCGGCACAAGCACTGGGAAATCTCATCCTCAGCTTTTATCTGTAGTAAGAGATGCAAAAACGTTATTTTATACTTAGCGGCAGTTTTATCTACAAAAAAACTTACATTAACCCAAAAATACTTTCCCACCGAAGTGGCCAAATCTGCTTCGTTTGCTCCAGCTTCATTTTTGTCAAATATTGAGTACTTCCTTTCATCATTTAATTCACTTTTTGCACACAGCCGACACCAATTTAGCCATGATGATGACTCGCTTGGTTGCTGTACATCTTTCGGGTTATTTATGTTTGTTAAATGTTTACCACTCATTTTAACAGAGTTTTTATGTTTAAAAACATGTATATTTTTTATATTTTTAATGATTTTTAAATATTTTTGTTAATTTTCTATTAATTATTGCAGCAAGCTGTAAGCAGATACCTGCGTCGACAAAAATTAACAACGGCGTTGGCTAACGCTAAAAATAACGACGGTGTTTTATAATCGGCACTAAGACGGCTAATTTATCAGCTGTGTTTTGAAAATTTTCAACGATTTTAAATTAAAAAAAATTATTAAAAAGTAGGATTTTGGAAGCAAATATTTAAAAAATCTGGATTGTTTAAATTGTAATGCTTAAAATCGGGATTTAACACAACCATATACAAAAAAGCAATATTCTGATTTGTCGAACATCATGTTTGATGTTTTTTTGTCTTATTATTACAAAAATCTAAAACACATCTATAATTCTTTTTTTGGATATCAGTTCGTATGCAGAACATACCGTTTGTATTATGTATGTTGAAAAACAATAACAATCAATCAAGATTTTCTTCAAAATTTAAATCGTACCTTTGATAATTGTGGACCAATTCCTTTCTCATTATTTTAATAAATCCAAAATGCACTAGTTGAAGAGCAAAAAAGTACCAAAGAATGATTTTATGTTTCTAGGTTTTTATATTGCAGATTTTTAAAAAGTACCTTTAGAAGAACGAAAAAGTAGCAAAAAAATATAATCCTTTGTACCTGATTTACAAATAACAGTCCATTAGCGTATTTAGATTTAATTAATATACCAATTTTTTAAATTATACCAAAATTAGCTCAACAATCTTGTATCAAATCAAATATCCGGTTTTAATCGATAACCGTATGTATCGATAAGTATCGAATGAATTAAAACATATTATTTCTATTCCCTATTTTTTCCTTAACTGGCATCATCTTCCATCTGGCAACTTTGAACAAAATAAATCAAAACACAGAGAGAAATGTCAATAAATACTAAAGACAGCTAAATAATTTTGTTTTTCTCAACAATTTGTGCACAATTTATAGAAAACTGAAGATTTTTGGTGAAAATTCTACCAAATTTTAATAAAAACTTAAAAATAAATATGTAGAAAATAAAAATAACTTAAACTCCAAACAAAATAGTAAAAAAAACTGCTCAATAATAACACAAAAATGCAGTCAACTTTTGCTACTCCCTCAATAGAGGATTCCTTACCTAACTGTTGGATCAACTGGTGTCGTTTGTGTGCCAAGGAGGATCCAGCAAATAATATAAACTTTTTATATGCAAGTGAGCATAATGAAGAAATGGAAAATAAGGAATTAAGTCTGCAGGAGGCATTGTCCAAATATTTTTGGGTGCAGGTACCATTAGCTGTAAATAAACCGTAACAATCCCACTCACACATATTTTTTGCACACATTTCAGACTTCCCTGGATGATGTTTTACCCAAAATGTTATGTACAAATTGTTTATCTCTAGTCTCTTCCATGATTAACTTTAATGAACGTGTAGAAAGGGTCCAGCTCATGTATTTACATTTGGCTGAAAGTCAAAGTCATGCCCAGGCTTTAGATCTAAATGGAATACGTTTAAAATTTGATGTTACCGAAACGGAAAGAGATAATTGGTTTTCAAGGTATTTTCCATTACATAAACCAGAAGAGACCACAACTGATAAAAGCCTGCTAGCTTCTCAAGAGGACAATTTTAAAGTACAAATTAAACAGGAAAATGCAGAGAAGTTCTTGGCCATGGATTATGATAATTATATGGAAGAAGATACAGACCTAGAAAAAGAAGAAATTATATTTGATGAGATTAATCATGAATCTTTAGAGGAAGATGATGAAGAAGATCCTTTTCAAGCTAATGATAAAGAAACAACATTTATGGGAAATGCTTCCTCAGCAGAAGAAGAAGTAGATAAAGAAACACCTACAGAATCTTGCACCCTTAGAAACGAAGACCAATCACCGAATTCCCCCTTAGAAAAAAAGAAAAGAAAACGAAAAAAACTAAAACAATATTCTCTGGGAGATTGCAAGAAAAAGAAACCGAATATAAAAGACTTTAAAATGGAATCCAAGTGTAAAGAATGTGGTGAAAATTTTACCAAATACATGCTTTATCGTGAACACATGCAACAACAGCATAATCACAGCCGTAGCAATAAACACTGGCCTTGTCCGGCTTGCGATAAAGTTTTACTAAGTCTTTTCAATCTGGAAAGACATGTACGTATACATGTGCCATTGGAAGTGAGGAAAAGTGTAAAATGTCCCGAATGTGATAATCGTTATACATCGAAAGCCCAGTTGGAAACGCATATTAGGTATAAACATAAAAATGAAAAACCATTTATTTGTGAAGAATGTGGTTTGAGTCTGAGGACAAATTCGAATTTGAGACAGCACATGTTGATACATACCGATGTGGCGCCGTTCGAGTGTGAAGTTTGTAAAAAGAAATTTAAAAATAAAACCAGATTAAAGGTGAGTTATCAGAAAGTGAATAGAAAGACTAGACTATAGGGTAGACTATGGACTAAACTATAGACTAGACTATAGAATATACTATAGACAAAACTATAGACTTGAGACTAGACTATAGACTAGACTTGACTATACACTAACCTATAGTTTAAACAAAATCTTTGAAATTTTCTATAGAAATATTTACAAATTCTTTTGTTTTCTCTAGACTCACATGGATATTCATAGTCCCAATAAACATGTATGTAATATATGTGGTTTACAACTGAATTCTAGAGCCACCTTGAATCGTCACTTCCTAGTGCATTCCGATGAAATGCAGCATAAATGTGACTATTGCGGTAAAGCCTTTAAAAGAGCTAAAGCCTTGAAAAATCATTTGCTACTGCACACGGGTCTCAAACCATACTCCTGTGATTTTTGTGATCGTACATTTGCCAATGGATCGAATTGTCGTAGTCATATGAAAAAAATGCATCCAGAAGAATTGGCTGTACTAGAAGCTTCAGGCAATAAGACACATACAAAAAATATACCAAAATTGGAAACATTAAAAGCAGTGTAAGTTGGAAGAAAATACAATTAATGGAAGAAAGTTTTATATGGAGTTTTTATTTAATATTTACAGCACCAAGGCAGCCGATAATCTAACACCAGTGGTAACCAAATTTAGCGGTTGCTTTGCTTTTGGTAAAAAGCCTAAAAATCTAGAAGCTCTCGATGCAAAACAAACACAAAAATCATCTCAAAAACTTAAAAAACCTGCAACCATCCCTCATAATAGTAATAATAGTGAAAAATTAGCCATGGCCTCACCTTCCTCTACACCCTTAGATTTACAATTTATACCGCTGGCCGGTAATAATACAGCTTCTTCCAATTGTCTCCCTGATGCCAAAAATCTGGAAAATGATTTAAACACCACTACAACAACTCCCATACCAAATTTTGATAATATTTATCAACATTTAATGAAACAAAATCAAACAGATCTACAAATCAAACGATCCCAAACACAACTCTCACCCCAGCCATCTCCTAGTAATGTTAGTACACCACAACACAATCCATTTTATCAACAAACTCCTAATGATATTATAAATCACACTCTGAGGCCAACACATCCTAGCAATGATTTGCTACACAGTCCGAATAGTCATCATAGCTCAATGACACCCTCCCTAACACATGAGGATCATTCTAATGCCTCATCAATACAGGCCAATTTTTATGGACCAATAAGAACAGCTCTACCACCGGGTAATTTTATGTAAGTTTTTGTTGTATTATTTTTTTTCGAATAAAATTAAAAAAAAAAAATATTAAACTTTTATTTTAATATTTGAAAAAATATGAAAATTTGTTTTCAGTCTGAGTTTTTCTATCGAAAAAGTATATTTTAGAGTGATATTTTCTATAGAAAGCATTTTTCTGAATATTTATATTCTAGTTTATACTGTGTTGTATAGTTTAGTCTATTGTGTAGTCTATCATCTAGTGTAGTATATAGTCCTTAGAAATCCTTAAGATTCTTGGATCGGATGAAGGGTGTTGCCAATTTTGTTATTCTAAACCAGTCCAAGGAACCTGCTGGTGTTGCAGATATACCTGCATCATTATGAGGCAGCTTCTGCAAAATTGGTAAACTTCATCAGTCGATCCAAGAAGGACGTAATCCTAATCCATAAACCTAGGAAAAACAAAAATAAGATTTGTGGATTAGGCATTAAGGGTTCGCGCCGTGCCCTGTGACACGTTAGCAAAAACTGAGCTAAATTTTCTAATATCTCATTCTTTCAGGAGCGGTGATTTCACTGTCATTAATAGAGAGGCCAAGGGTAAACGACTGTTTACAATGGCCTCTGTGTAAATGTCTATATAAGCTATAGAGCCGCCTGGCAATGAGGTGCTGTAGCTTATGGCATTTGCTAATCGAAAAAGCGCCATCCGTCAATGGGGGAGTGCTGATAGCAAAAGGGGTGAGTGATTTTTTATATCTTCTTACTGCGAAAACTTTTATAACCTAAAACAGGGGCACCACACCAACGTTTAGGAATAAAGATAGGTACGCAGTGATAGACATTTCACTAATGAACCGTAGTGATGATTTGATATGGTAAATTTAATTCCCAAGGCTGGTAGGGCATACCGAAGGATTTTAGAGCTATGAGCTTATTGTCTTTTCTATTGAAGGAGCAATATTGATATCCATCTCATTAGCAATACTCAACATGCTTATCTTAGAGGTAAGTAGGTTGAAAGTGCGCTTCATGAGGTGGAGGATTGTATTAAGCACGGCCTAGAACAAAAAGATATAGAAGAAGCTTCAAATAATATTAAAATAGATGAAGTTAAGGAGTCGTTAGTTACACTCAGGGTCTAGGATTTTCTAGTGAGTTGGATAGGACAGGAAAAGGGTTACCAGGGGTACACCACATGCAGAAGTGTTATTACCTTTGTTTTGGTTACTAGCGGTTAACTCGATTCTAAAAATCTTCGAATCCAAAGGTAGTAAAATGGTTGCGTACGTATGTTGAGAGTGACGTGGCTAGGAACTTCTTTAACCAATTCTGGTACTGTATGACGGTATTCAAAGCCTTATCGATTATAAATTTTAGACATACAAGCCTTTTTAAACTAGTCTAATCTGTAGTCTATAGTCTA